TGAATGCATCAATTGCTATTATTTCTTCTATAAAACATTTTATAATTTTATGTATAAACACAGTTTATTAGTTTTGTTCTAAGAACAGCGTAGTGATCATCAGCATGGGATTTCATAAATAAAATATATAATATCATGTATTTTGTTGTGAAAAACTGACGTGTCATATGTTTACTGGTGATGTATCACAATTATGTAAATTTTATGTGACAAATAAACATTTTATTTCATTTCATAATCGAAATATGTTGGTTTTCTCAGGGTCGCATTTTGGTACCTAGCCAGGCAATTTGATCATCGACGTTCCTCTTTTAATATTTTTGTACTTATAATACAGTAGTTTTTTTGGTAGCCGGTAGAACCTATACTACCTGCCATACCTAATGGGAAATATGACAGTATATGAAAAACTTCATCTGGAACACTGGAACCTTGAGTTAACTTAAAATTTCGTCAACATTTTTTTCAAAAAGTTTGCGTTTGCATTATAAGAGAATAACAAAAACAAGATACTCTAGTTACCAGATGCGCCAAGCAGTTCGTAGTACTGCCGAGCAGCAGCACCAACTAAGGACGGCGTAGAAGATTCACAGAGTTTTTCTTAGTTACCAGTTAGTGGTGGATGAATGGAACACTTTTTTGTCCTGTTTTCTTTCGGCTCAGCTCTGTACAATTCTTCTGTCAAACTAGTTCTTCAATTTTTTAACATCTTCTGTTAACACATTCAATTAAATAATTATTACAATTACATCAAGTAAATACTCTGTATTAGTGTTTTGTTTTATGTTACAAGGCTGGGAAATAGGTGTTTGCACGGGTGTAGTAAACACACATTGGACGAGTGACTATATTTTTGGTCATACTTTTACTACTACCTAATACTACTAACTACCCTAAATAAAAATAAACTAAACTATAGAGGCGAAACGTGTGCTGGTAAGCAAGATACTCAAGATCCATAATCGACCATGTAGTTCCTAAACTCGTCACAAGCTCCAGTGGTAGCAGCACTATACGGTGTCGGTAGTGTAGATCTAAGAGAAATTTATGTCCTGTACTGTATTGATCTACACGTAGTACAGGTAAAACTCACCTAAGAAAACATAAAAATTAGTCCATTCATGAAACTTGCAGGAAACGTAGTAATTACCATTAGGTATTGGAATCTGAAGAGTCCCTAGTGATTGTGGGGGTGGAAGTACCATTTTATGGGGGTTAAAGTTTATGGGGGTAGTGATTTTGAGAAAATTTTTATTTATGGGATCCAAGCAAGTGAGGTGTCGTTTTCTATGTTTCTTAGGATGCAGAATCGAAAAAGAACAAAATAAAAGCAATACAACCGACGGTTTACTAGAAAAAGACTAATTTATTAATGAAAAATTAAATATGACAAATTAATTAAGTAAAATAACCCAGTTAATATCAATTACTGTATTACAAAATTGACTATGAGTCTGTGTCAAATGTTAAAGTTGTGAGGAAAATTAACTAAGAAACTGGTAGTTTCGCCTCTTTAACCACCACGTGTCATACTGTTCATCAGCTACTGATGCATCATCACCATCCATGGAATGGTCAGGGTCTCTAGCTCGTTCTTCTCCATCGTTGTCTTGACTTAACACTGACGGCTAAGTATGGGTAGCAAAAATATTTCAGTTCTGGCGGTGAGCGGTATATTTTATCTTCACCAACTTAGGGTGAAGATAAAATATAAGACCAAGAATGAAAAACCGCTCGGACCCCAATTTTTAAGGACCTTGGTCGCCCTTAATGACATCATCAATATGGCGCTCGTAAGAGGGTGCTGGGTCGCTATGAATTAATAAATGCCTGAACCGATTTTAATGAAATTTGGCATACAAGTGCTTGAATACGATATATAATCCCAGTTTGTCAATGGTCGAGTTTGATTAGGTCATTTCAAAATGGCGCCCGTTAATCACTAAAATAATTAAAAATTGTTTAGTGTTTTGTTTTATCAACTCTCTCCAGAAATCTGCAGCAATCTTTCATTTTCCTTGCAATCACAGGTTGTGATGCCGTCTCTGTATTTCCTGGAATAGGCCAAATACCCCCACTGCAGCAAACCTGCAGATTAAGTGAGTTTCCATTTGCCTGATTTGATTTTCAATTACATATATTTTAATTGAGTTTAATTACAGTAGTACCTAGGTTTGCTGCTACGGGGAGGATAAAGTGTGTTTTTTATTAAAATATTAATAGCCAAGGTCAAAATAAATAAATTTACCAAGTTTTATCAAAATAGGCTATATCTTTAAACGAGCAAACTACAACAGTTTACTTATTCTCCATAAGAATAAAATGAGAATGATAAATTTACAATTTTTTAATTTTCTCGGTAGGTAACCAATATTCGCACAAAACACTTCAATAAACAAAATTATTGGTTTTTAAGGTATTCAAAATCATCATGGTATCCAAAATTGTTTAGAGAGAAATTCGAAAATTTTATGTGTAGAGGGTTAATCATGACAAAACCCAATTTTGACCCCATAAATCCCCCCAAAAAACCCCGTTCCCATGGTCTGATCATGCTGGATTGCGAACTCGTTAAAATCAGTCTAAAGATTTTTTTTACTTTTTTATGACATAACATCAAACTTTAACAGCGTTAATGACTGTAGACGTGTACTTTTTAAAGAACGTTAGCACGATAACTCAAGCAAAAATGACCCAATGTTGACGAAATTTGGTAAAAACGTGTAAACCTACGTTTACTCGAAAGAGATTGCGAACCAGCATGATCGAACCATGAGGACAGGGGTTTCTGGGGATTTATGGGGTAAAAATTGGGTTTTCTCATGTTTGCCCCTCTAAACGTAAGATTTTCGAATTTCTCTCTACGCCATTTTGAATACCATGATTGGATATTTTGCTAGTTTATGGTTATATTTTGATAAAACTTGGACAATTTATTTATTTTAACCTATTCATATTTTAATTAAAAAATACACTTTATTACCCTCCCCGTAGCAGCAAACCTAGTTAACACTAATTAAACTTTAGGTTATTGAAATTGATTTAATTGAAAATCAAGTCAGGCAAATGGAAACTCACTTAATCTGCAGGTTTGCTGCGGTGGGGGTATTTTGCCTATTCCACGAAATGCAGAAACGGCATCACAACCTGTGATTGCAAGGAAAATGAAAGATTGCTACAGATTTCTGGAGAGAGTTGATAAAACAAAACACTAAACAATTTTTAATTATTTTAGTGATTAACGGCCGCCATTTTGAAACGACCTAATCAAACTCGACCATTGACATACTGGGATTATATATCGTATTCAAGCACTTGTATGCCAAATTTCATTAAAATCGGTTCAGGCATTTATTAATTCATAGCGACCCAGCACCCTCTTACGAGCGCCATATTGATGACGTCATTACGGGCGACCAAGGTCCTTAAAAATTGGGGTCCGAGCGGTTTTTCATTCTTGGTCTTATATTTTATCTTCACCCTAAGTTGCAGGCTCACCGCCAGAACTGAAATATTTTTGCTACCCATACTTAGCCGTCAGTGTTAAGTCAAGACGACGATGGAGAAGAACGAGCTAGAGACCCTGACCATTCCATGGATGGTGATGATGCATCAGTAGCTGATGAACAATATGACACGTGGTGGTTAAAGAGGCGAAACTACCAGTTTCTTGGTTAATTTTCCTCACAACTTTAACATTTGACACAGACTCATAGTCAATTTTGTAATACAGTAATTGATATTAACTGGGTTATTTTACTTAATTAATTTGTCATATTTAATTTTTCATTAATAAATTAGTCTTTTTCTAGTAAACCGTCGGTTGTATTGCTTTTATTTTGTTCTTTTTCGATTCTGCATCCTAAGAAACATAGAAAACGACACCTCACTTGCTTGGATCCCATAAATAAAAATTTTCTCAAAATCACTACCCCCATAAACTTTAACCCCCATAAAATGGTACTTCCACCCCCACAATCACTAGGGACTCTTCAGATTTCAAAACCTAATGGCAATTACTACGTTTCCTGCAAGTTTCATGAATGGACTAATTTTTATGTTTTCTACTGGTATTTTAGTGTAATAATTTTACCTGTACTAACGTCCCAAAACGAACTCATTTTGCTATTGAGAAATTTTTTTATAATATAACCTGTAAAAATAGGTAAATTTGTAATTACTTATATGCATAATAATAGACCAGTTTTTGCTAAGTTTGGCTTAAACACCTAGTGATTTATTAAGCGTTTCAGTTGGTTTGAATATTATTAGACTCACAAAAAATGCACATAATCTTTCATAGTATAATCATCTATTTGTTTTTCGTATTGTAAGGAGAGTTCTATTATTTCAATTATTTCTAAAAAAAAAATAATGCCAGAAACGGTGCGAGCCCTGTGGGCTTAGGTCACACGTTGACCTGACCTGAAGTAATGTGACAAACAATCCCAGGTCTGTGTCCAACAGAGCAGAGGGGGTTTTTTAGTGAGTAGTCTGACAAGCTCAGGAGTCTCACACTACAGGCTGGCTACCTGTGTGCGTAAAAGCATTTTCCCTCCTCACCCTAAAAAAAAAAATTATTTCACCTTAAAAAAGTTTAAATTTAATGGTCGTTAAATTAATATTAAACTTTTGGTTACTTGTGGTACAGTAGCACTTTCTGAAATATGACTGTTTAACTTTATAGGTCTTTACACACAATCTTGGTTCTGTTAGTAGTTTATTAGTTTGCTTGGAAACAAAAAAAAATACCCCTGTTGGAGATTTCTTGATTTGAACCTTCCAAGTTAACATTAGAACTTGACAAACTACACTACACCAAACAGAATCACTACCTTTATTTTTCTGATCTAGGGCCTATATAGTATGAGAATATTTCTAATACTAAATGGTAAAAAAAAAATACCTTTGGATACTTAAATGAGAATCAATACAAATTTAGTTTGTCTTCTGTGATTAACTTCTAAATGGTCTGATGGAGGATAAAAAATGAAAACTAGTTATGATTATTATTTTAATTACACTTACAAAAATCCATAAAATATGTAATGCAAGTACAGTTTTGGTAATGCTAAACTTAATATTGCAGACATTATTATCATAACTATTAGACAAAATAGAAAATTTTGTTTATACGATGGTTTAGGGGAAACAATCTCTAGCGTAAATAGCTTTAAACTGTGTGTTTAATGAAATTGAATTACAAAACAACGACTTTACTAGCTAAAAATAAACTCAATTTATAGGAATTGTTAACTATTAATAGCATAAGAAGAATTATTAAAATAAACTGAATTAATATGAATTATTGTTCAAATATATTGCTCTTTATTTAAACAATTATGGACGCAAATAAGTTAAAAGCTAAAAAAAATAGCTAAAGCTAATGAATGGCAGGTGTAGTAAAACTAACTATACAAAGTTAACTACTACGGATGTATAAAATATCGAATTATACTTGATTTAAAATAACAATTAAAGGACTAAGACAACTAAGGAAACAAGTAAACAAAAAATTAATAACAAACTGGGGTGCATACAAATAAGGAAAGCTGTAAAAAATAACACAAGGGTACAATATTAAGTATTAACATATTCATAGTTATTTTTATTCATTTAATAACAAATACAAAATTATACATTTTGTAAATACATTAAAAACTAACATAATGGTTTAGTGACTATAAATGTGATGGCAAAGTAAGGCACTATTTATTATTTTAAAATAAAAATCTATGACATGCATACAACAGAAGAAAATGTATTAATGAAGTTCAAAAATGCAATGATTAAGAAAATTATAATTATGGCACTAAGTATGCAAGTATGGATGATAGGTACTAGTTAATCTTATTTTGAACATGCTACATTTTTACTGCTAAATACTGAAAACAACGGCTCATAATGGTAAGAACCTGGGCTAATAAACTAGACTTGTTGATTTGATGACAACCATTTCCATTTTCACTATGGTCACCAATGACCTCTTAGCTTACCAATGAGTCTTACGCCACAACAATTTTTCAATGGGCAAGAGATGAGGACAACAATAGCAATAACTTACATCTGAATCATCTGAATATACAAAACACATTGTTTTATCTTATTTATAGAAACCTGTTCAGTCATATGACACTTTTGGAATACAAATTTTAGATATACTAAAAAAAAAATAGTCATTATTGTACCTTTACTGAAATAGGGTTCCAGTATTGGTGTAAGGATTTTATTATAATACAAGGTTATTCTGATTAAAATATGACAAAATTTCTTTTTGACATCTGATAAAACCAGGTGACATCATTTCCAGACGTCTTGTCCTAGGGATTTCTTCAGCACAATACTGTGAGTTCGTCTTCTTAGGTTATGTTGGGATGTTGTTACTAATCCCGTTTGTATCTCCTGGAGGCTTCTCTCCCACCATGAACACAGTAAACCCATCGACATCCTCCAGCTCGTTGGAGTAAAACTTGGCAGCGATCGTAGTCTTCCCTGGGAACCTCGGCCTCCCCTTGAATGTAACACTTGCGTCTGTGTTGGGCTCAACAGGACTGTAAATCATAGGATATTGAAATTGTTTGAGAGCTGCGGTATTTTATATCAAAGCAATGTGACAATAAGTATAGTTAGAGAACGGTTCAAGCCCTGGTCTTGTTGCTATCTAAGGTCAATCCTATTGTAGAGGAGTGAAAATTTAAAAACGTACGTTTTTAGGTAAAGCACTTTGCAAATTTTTTTCCCCCTTTTTCAAAACTTTTATTATTTTTTTTATTTCATTAACATTTGAAGTTTCATAATATGTCCATGGTAACGCAATATCTTTGATAGTTTCTTTTTAAAAGAGCATCTTTAGTGGAAAAACACAAAATCCTGTCACGACCATAACGGACATTTAAACGAATATTAAAAATAGTTAATATTATTTTTGTAACTATGTTTTGCTATAAACTAATTTACTTTTATGACCATTATACAATAAAAAGGTCACTGAGCTTTTGGTATATTTGGTCTTTCTAGAAAAAAATAAAAAAACTCAAAAAATTGAAAAAAAGCCAATAAATTAAATCTTTTTAAGTTTGTATAACTCCGAAAAAACTTACCTGAGACCCGAAAAATCGTTATGTTTGTATAGAGGTGTGCTTCTTTTGTGTATAAAACATTGAAATACGACGATATTTTAATTTTTGAAATTTTTATGATAGAAATCATAAACGTGATGGTCAGGGACAAGCGGTACGGTCGTGAATTATCTGGAATAATCTAAATCTTTCTAAACAATCCTTCAATTATCCTGTTAGTTATAATAAAAATATGTGTTTCAATTTAACTAAACTGTTCAATTTACAATTATATTAAAGTTATTGTCACGACCAAACACACTAAGATCCATAAGGTTGGATTGGTCGTGAAAAAACCCGCGATGGTCGTGAAACTTTGGTCGTGAAATTACGTGTTATTTGGCTCTGTTCTGGCGGTAGCCCTGCACCTCATGTTCGAGGATACAAAGTGGACTTCTAGGTTAATCTAGCAATTGAAATATCTTATGAACAAAAATTAACACCATGTCTACTTCATCGAATGACTACGTACGGTCATGGACACACCAAAATTACAAAAAACACAATCTTTTCTTTATTAATCTTGTAATTCCTCCTTTCAACTCGAAACAACCGGCACTACAATCCTGACGTACACCCCGAACTAGTCTCTAAAACCAACTGACTCCATCGACGCCAGGCTTGCCACTGTCGTGCTCCAAAGTTGAAATTTTTTCCCAAATGGTCGTGACGCCAAATCGAGGGACAGACTTATTTTGTCATGGTAGTCAGTTTGTAATGACAATAAAATTATAGTATGCTCCTTTTTTGTAAGTTTAATAACCATTGATGACATAAAAATATGGCTTTATATATTTCGGCATGAATAATTAGTCTAAAAACAGCGTGAAAGTTGGAAAATGTACCCTAGGGACACGTCATGGTCGTGAATTTCGAGACTTTAAAAATACGAAAAAAATACCTAGAACCTATTTAAAACCAAATAAATGTGTGTAACATGTTGCCCCCGTCCCAAAAAATATTAAAACACATAATAATAAACTACAAATCCAGTATATACGAAGTAAAAGGCCAGGGACATGAAAACGTACGTTTTTAAATTTTCACTCAGAGACCATCATGAGCGATAGCCCAAAAGAGTTGCAGACAGACCAAAACAAATCAAATCAAAACACACTGTAATGTATCAGTTATATGTATATCAGTTTTATACTCCTTGGTGTTTGCTATATTCATGGTGCCATGGTCCCCACCACTACTATTGTAACTAACGTTGATGAAAAAAGCCTTCTATGTTGAACCATCACAAGATGCACTCGTAATTATTTTACCAAGTTCTAAGGTGATAAATTATGTATGGTATATAAAGGAAATATACAAATATTTAGACTATAAAAGGAATAGGCATACACAATACACACCATTATCAACTCTTTGCAGAAGCAAACTAAAGAACCTTTTTATGCAGAACACTCTAGCTAAGTACTTTATACCGGGTGTCCCACGCAGAGGTCCCTATTTTTTATTTGATATCACAGACGTATTGAGTGCGCTACAGACTTGAAATCCTACAGTCGTGATTAACACATATGTAAAGGTGTTGACCCCAAGTCTCAATTAATTCTGACTGATCCAAAGAAAATGTCGTAAAAAACAACAACAAAATCAGCAATTGTATTTTAGGGTATCGAAAAGATACTATTTTTTTCATATCCCGTACCCGTCGTTTTGTCCTAATGTGTCAGAATTAACTGATACTCAGGGGTATTTCTTTTACATAGCCTACGTGTATGTTAGGACTGTTGAGTTTCAGGTTTGTAGAGTGCTCGGCGCGTCTAATATATTAATTCAAAAAGGGGACCTCTTTGTGGGACATCCCCGGTATATTAAGCCAACTATTTGTAAACCTCTTCGTATAATTTAAAAGTGACATATCTAATTTTACATCTTCTTTATCAAACAATTATGTTCAAAAAACTTTTATGTGATGTTTACAAAAATAATTAGTGGTTGAATGAATGGTAAATATTAGATAAGAGATGAGGCGACCCTGAAGAATCAGGGTAACATATTTTAATGCAAAGATGAGTTTTGATGAATCAAATGAAAGACCATTTATCAATGATCAAGGAGAGTAGTTCAGTGTTTCGTAGAAATGCATTCAGAAGACAATTGACAAGACAACATCGTAAGTCTATACATACCTCTCAAGTTTGATCTTGATGGGAGCCTCAAGGCTGGGACCCTCAACCACAAACCTCCCTCTGGTGAGAGCATGGGGAAGTGGGTTGTGTAATGAAGCTGTGACGGAAAACTCCTTGCCTTCCGTGGGACTGCCTTCAATCTGGAATGAGGAAGTTATAGCATTGTAAGTCCATAACAACTTTTACTTGTTTTAAAATTGAATAAGACATGTATATTGAAAATCCCAAAGTTCTTACGATAAATATAGCATGAGATGTTACTTGATTGAACAAAGTTCTTTTTTATGTGACTATACTAAAAGATGTCATACCGTTTTCATAGCTGTTGCTAGTGTATTTGTAGTCAAAGAAAACTTAGTTGAGTAAACCTCTCTCATGAAAACCTTCTCATAGTGTGACATTTATTTCATTAAGTTAATTACGATATTCAAGACAAGACATGTGTAAGAATCAAAACAGAATTTAATGGCCTCACTCTGTCGGTGTCCCAAAAGAACAACTATGTTTAACTCTTATTGTAACAGTCCACAGCTTTAGCATGGTAATTCAAAGTGCCACTAAGGATAATATTTACCTTAAACTTGATGTCTGGTTTTCTGACTCTGAAGTCATCCTGAGCGAAATACTCGTAGTTGGTGTCGTGCACTGTAGCCAGACAGGCGATGTTGAAGGCTCCTTGGTCCACCAGCTTATCTCTGTATTCATTGTAGGTGACGTCGATCTTTACTTCTTCCTCTGCAAGTATAGATATTGTTAGAAAAGGATGTGTTTAATACAAATGAGATATCCCGTTATCACGCTTTTTTATCCCAAACAAAACACTATACTTATAATTTATTTTTGTAAAAAAATACAACCGACTTCAAACGCTCTAAAAAGAATGAAATAATTTAAATAAAGTTAACTTTTGTATTAGGCAAGCTCACGTATTTCAATTCGGCGCGGCTCTATGATGATTTTTGATACAAAATTGAAAGAGGGTGTCCATATTGCAGGTGACTATCTATAACTAAAGGTGTTAATCTGCATGTCTTTTTCATAGTTATGCGTTAAGTGTTATTTTATTACCGTAATCAGAGATCGGCATTATAGTGGTATTAACGAGTATCTTTAAAAAGATTATAACGCATTTAAATGTTTCTAACTTGGAAATGTAACGTTTTAATACTAAACTAGCTTCTTTTCCCTATCATAATATCAAACTAAATTATTTTCCTATTCATATAGAACATTTGTGTGTGTTATTTTCATAATGCATTTATTCTGAAGTAAACATAAAATACAAGAAAATATTTCCTTTAATATATAAACAAAACAGTTCAGTATGTTTTTTATATATTTATGTTATCCAGCTACAATTTATTGATTTTCAAAATACACACACAATATTTAATTTCAATCATATTTGCAGTTTGAACCGCGCCGACTTGAAATACGTGAGCTTGCCTAATACAAAAGTTAACTTTATTTAAATTATTTCATTCTTTTTAGAGCGTTTGAAGTCGGTTGTATTTTTTTACAAAAATAAATTATTTCATGATTTTTAGTGACCGTATAGTTTTTATGTACCGGTATTAATTGATTGAGGTTTTTTGATAAGCAAAACTGTTTGAAACAATCAAACGTTCCACAGAACAATCATTATTTTAAAACTGCTTGAGTCACCTGTTCAGGTTACATAATCAATGGGTATGAAAATAAACATATTTAGATATTAAGAAAGAAAGAGTTGTCCATTACATTAGGCCTAGTGAAAAACTAATTGTCTTTTCTAGATACATTGAAATGTCAGACATCATCGTTTCTTTGCAATCGGTGTACTTCTACATTATAAAAAGAAATACAGTAACGTCTCAAGCCTTTTGGAACAAAATAAAGTTATTCCTCAGCTACCAGCACTAAAAAATCTCTCAAAAGTGGAAAATTGGTCGTTAACACCATAGAACCTTTCGTATAGTACCTTTGGAAAATATTATATGAAAGATTGGTTCAGCTAAAAGTGGTGTAAGTCATGTAGGGGGTTTTGTTTGCTCAAGATATAGCCTAGTTGAAATTGCAAATCATCTTCCTCTAGGACTTTCCGAAGCAGGCATAAAATAGTATTGATATGTTATAGTAACTGGGTAGAGAATATCAATAAACATTCCACATCTGCAAATGCATGTTTAGTAATTAAAATATTCAACACTTTTAAGACAATTGACGATTATGCACTGTCACACTTCTTAGGTCGTGTAAGGAATAATTGCATTTGATTTATATTTATACCTGTTTTACGAATGCTGTGGTTTTCACAATACACCTTTATTTGTCATTATCATACAGCTATTCACTGAAAAATGTATGTTTTTGTAAGTCAGAATATTCAATACTAAAAACATAATTACTGTATACACAAATCAGGTCAAACGTTAAAATACATTTTTTATAGTAACCAAAACAAAATGCATTTTTCTCAATGTAATTAATTTAGGCTTCATGGCAAGAAATAGTTTATTGATCAATATGAAGCAACTGTTTCATGAAGAAATTGTCTGTGTCTTTTAAATGGTTTCAACTAACAGCTGTAGGAATATTATTATTATTTATTGCCTTCTCTGCACAAATGTAAACAATGTGCACAAATGTAAACAAAATGAATGTTGAATATTTAAGGTTTTCAGAATTTTTCACCGAAACAAATATTATACTTAAACATAATATATAAGGTACCAAATAGAAACTCTCCTGGTTATTTTGGTGGTGGAACCACACTGATCGGTAAGAGAATCACAGAGAAATTGGTGAACATACATAGAAAAAAAAAAACATCGCCACAGACAAATTGAGAACCTCCTCCTTTTGTTGGTAGTGGGGAAGTCGGTTAAAAATGAGATTGTTTGTCTAAAACATTAAAACAATTACATCACTGAAATATATTTTTTATGGGTATGATGACTTAAAACAAAACTTCTGGGGTCAATTTTCAATACAAACCCCTCTTCATAAAGGAATTATAACAATGAATTTTAATAAAAATCATATTTTTTTATGTTCTAAAGAGGAGAACCCGCTGAAGAGGCTGATGAAGGAGAAATGCAAGGGGGAACTTAGGATATTTCTAGTTAATAAACTTTTCATGTTTTCTGGGGTAATCCAAACAAGGCCCCACTAGAAAAAACAGGCCATGCTGCAGCGCAAGCAGCACAACACTACGTCACAGTTGTGGATAGTTGTACTTAAGTTGTCAGACGTGAACAGCCAGCTTATTTAACTAGAAATAATGGAACATGGCAGTGAATCTATCCACAAGCGTGACGTCATGGATCCTGCAACATGGCCTGTTTTTCTAGTGGGGCCTGGATCCAAAGCTGAATATTTCCAATGAAATTTCTCAAAACAAACACAAACAGAAATTAGGAAACCCTACAAAATATTTTAAAAGATTTTTGCTTACAAAATAAAATCAAGTCATGTTTTTGAGCAACCTCTTACCTGATTTCTTCTTGACAAGAATGTCAAACTTGTCCTTCCTCACAGAGTCCTCAATCTTACCAGTGTACATGACGGCGTCCACTCGCAGGATCACAGAGATTGTGTAGTCCTTGTCCTTGCTCTTATTGGCGATCACCACAGCTGCACTGAAATCACAAATTCATCCTCTTATTCGATTTTTCTATTAAATTACAATTCCTCCAAGCTTACACTTGTGTAGCAAGCTTTTTCTTTGTTCCTACCGTTCCTTCTTCTTTGAGGGTTATAGAATATATTAACGAGTTTTCAGCAGACTCTCCGAACTTCAATGATGAGTGCTTGGATTGTTGCAACAATATGTAAGTTTTCCGTGAACTCGAACTAGGTTTTCATAAGTAGAGTAAAAGTCTGTTAAGTCTGTCTTATAGTAGCTTTGATTGATATTCCCTTAAAACTCAATTGTATCAGTTTCTACCTTATACTAAAGTGCCAAACCTTTAATTGTGAGGAATTGTGTTTTCATTCACTGGACATCCTTTATCTACAAATTTTATGAACAAATAAATTATTTTTCAACTTACCTGAATGGTGACCCTATCACAATATCATCTCGAAGTTTAAAGTCAAATTTGACATCGTTGAACTCTTCGTTGAGGTAGTATCTGCTGAACAGGCTTTCACTTTGTTTCAAAGCTTTCAACATGGCCGCTCTCTCGTCTTGGCTTTCTGTTGAAAAAGGACGTAACAAAAATGTATTGTTGTATGCATTAAAAAGTGGTAAATTGTGTGCAATACCTACAATAAATAGATTTTTTTCATGTTAAAAAACATACTGTGCTTCTTTAACACAAACTTATATTTACATTTACTATTCTTTTTTTTATTTTATGTAAAAAGGAGAAGCTAGTTTTTCCTTGTTTTATAAAAACAAACAAGAAAACCAAGTTGGTTTAGATATCTATCACAAGTCAAACAACAATTCACTTACTTTCTGGGAACTTGTAGGAAAGTGTGATGTCTTCAATGGTCCACTTGCCAACAGCTTTCGTGCTTATCTTCTGACCAATACTGGAAAAAAAAATAAAATACTGTATGTCAAAACAATTTTTGTTATTTCATTTTTATCTTCAAGCGAGTGTTGAGGAAAGCAAAGTAAAGATAACAATAACAGAAGATTTTGGGAGTCATTAGCTCGGTTGGTAATTCAAATTAATCTTTATTATCGTACTAGCAGAATACCCGTCCTTCGTACGGGGTTGGCTTATAAGTTGAAAATGTTTATTGCAGTTATGCTCAAGCTTTGCGTTTGCAATGGGGGAGGACAAAGTTTGATAAAATTTGCTTCTTTGAATTACGATATACTATGGTATTACACATCTACCATAGCATTATGTTCTACCACTTCACCTAAACAATAAAGAAAAATAAATTATTACAAATTCACAAAAAATCACAAATTTTTCATGACATTAAAAACTTGAACATAACTGTGAGTGCCATCCATTCCACTTTGACAGTTCTCATTGAGTATCAGAGTGTTTTGTTGCTGTAGTTCAAATTAGCTGTTTACTTAAAATGCAAAAAAATGTATAGTGCTGCACCCTGTTGGTAAATCTTATAACTTTTTAATGCTTTTGTATATCATAGAACCAACTTTTTAGTTGAAACAGCTGACTAAATTCTTTAATTCCATTTAAATATGAATACTAATAAGGTTAACATGGGGAATTACAGAGCCACTGGGGCGGAACCCGAGAGGATTTTTGAGATAAGAATATGCCTATATGTTAATCGGGGATGTGGGCTATCATCATGCCAAATTTCAGCCCAATCCGTCCAGTGGTTTATGCGTGATTGAACTTCAAACAAACAAACAAACAAACAAACACACAAACTTTCACATTTATAATATTAGTAAGATAAGATAAACACAAATACAGTACATTGATAATGTCAAAAAAGAGGCAGTGCATCATGTGGTGCAGCAATAGATATAATTTTTGTAACATTTCGGAACAAGTAATATTATGAGATCAAATTAGTACTGTACCATCTATATATAAATTTCAACAATACTGTCCCTACAAGTATTTTACTTACTCAACACTTTTTTGTACAAACACAAATAAATCATAACTTCAATTTGTAACAAAAACTCTCTTCAAGGAGAAATACTTCACAACTTAGAACTCATCGTTTAAGCTTGGATATGAATATCGAATAAAAATGGTTTTCAAAGGATTCGATAGTTTTATTATAGCATACCCATGGACATCTTTCCCCAGTAGCTTCAGAGGCTGCGTTGGTCCAGAATACCTCCAATACACTTTGTCAGCGTTCACCTCAGCGTAAACGAACGCAGAGTCGTAAGGTTTCAGAACCTCACCACGTTTTACTCCCTATTAGATAAAAACTTTCATTAGATTGGTTAAAACATGTTTGGGAATCACTGTTAATTTGTTTGCACATTTATATAAAACAAATCAACTTATAAAACACGCTTTAAAACTGTGTATTTGTGGACTTGACTTTAAACTTCAGCGAGCAGCAGAAGACAGAATACAATGGTAGAGGTATTTTTGGCAGAGCAGGCCTTGGTTGGTGCGGGGCCCATTCAGAGTAGGGCCCTTACTACCAAAAAACGTAGTATACAAACAAAACTAACAAAAATATCAATGTATAATGGTAGTATATATGCTCCCCTATTTTCTTCCTCATAATTGACGTAAAGTTCAAGCAGGGCCGTACTCAGACCGGTTTCTCTGGACAATTTTACCTGGGGCCCCTTAAGAGGATGGGCGGGGCCCGGCCTACTATCTTTACTGGGGCCTGGCAAAGCTGGGTACGGCCTTGAGTTCAAGGACTTCTTGAATTGTTTTGGTATTTTGCACCAAGTGCAGATCCCCAAGATGGCCCCCCTGTGCGGCCGCAACTTTGGCACGTACCTAAGGCCAGCTCTGATTGTTGGTGCGGTTAAAACTACCGAGGATTTAAAGGTCCAAGAGGTAACTAACTGGTATAAGGTAAACCATTTTCATTAAGAAACATTTTACATAAATTCACATCAAGACAACTGAACCTTGACTGACGCAGGGCCGCAGCGGAACATGTCCTCGCTCATCTCCTGTGGCGTGGCGTCGATGGCGTTCCATCCATCATAGTCCCCGGGGTCAAGGTCTGGCCGCCTCATCCACACCTCGTTCCACACATGGAAGTTCCTGGAGACGTAACACCAACTTACCATCAAACCATTATTAAATGCACCTTATATAAACTATTAGCCTAAAGTTGTTTTTATCGTAAGATGATATTTTTATAACATCTATGCTTAAGACATTATTAATGTACAAGAATCCAAATCTGATTCTGTTTTACAAGAGACAAATAGAAATAGCAACTACGCCCAAAAGTTTCTTCTCAGGAAAATAAAAGGATTGAAAAAAAAGAGCACTTAAAACCCTTCTCCCTTTCTTAGTCCAGGAGCAAACTGCACATATCCAGCTACCGTGGGATTTTTTGTGAAGGGAATGTGTGACTATGTGGAATCTCTTTATTATATGTCACATAATGGTGTAGTACCGGGTGTTTACCCTCAAATTACGGGGTTTGGTTTTTATGACGTCTTAAATCCAAGATGGCCGCCATGTGTGACATCTATTCATTAAATTGATAATAACTCTTTCCAGAGTAAAATAATCAAATTTTAATTTATACCATTGAGTTCAGCTCAAAAAATCAAACAATTTGGTGTTTTGAATCATTGCTCTATGACCATTGGTTACCGAGATATTGAAGGTGGAAAACACAGAACATTGGCCCCAAGCAAGACCCCACTACCCCCATGTTATCCTTATGGGGAAAAAATAAAATTGTATATCTAGCTTATTACTCAGCATATCTTAATAATAATTGGTATATGGCTTCATTTAGTAGAGATCTACTTGATTATGGCCTAAAATCCCCCATTTTTACATTTCTGTGGCAGCAAACCTGCATACTCACTTCCCATGTTATTCTTATGGAAAATGTTGTGCATGCTTGTTTATGAACATACGTGTTGAGAAATGTTAATGTGTGGCCCCATTTTAATTATTTATTGAAGCATTTGCAATTCGTTGAGTATACAGGTCTGCTGCCACGGGGGTATTGTAGCAATAAACAAATCTCACAAATGATAGGTATAAAATAAAATAGACTATAGTTATGGGTCATATGTAATTTCTTGTGATTTTGAATTAAGCAATTATTGTATGAGTGGTGGTGATAGATAGGTAATGACATATAGAATCGTGTACTACCGGGTGTTTTGTCTGAAAGTGTGACCTAGCTAGTGTTTTTGGCCCGCCGTCTTGGATCCACCATGTTGGATACTAATACAAATTTTTAAATCTAATGCTGGTGTTGTGACTCATTAACTAGATGTTTACGCTAATTCCAATTCCGAAAACCGTTTGTAAATATAGTTTTTCGTTTCGAAGATATATTGAAAAGAAAACTCCCCCCCCCCCATACATTTCTTACGGACGTTTCGTACTTTGATTATTTTTCAGATTATTTTTCTCATATATCCAGTTCTTATTATTGCTTGTAATTCGTTCTATTATTAAAGTATTTAGTGATGTAAGATCTTTTATTTAAGCTATCGATCATTAAAATCGGACGAGTTAGAGTTGAGCTATGAACCACAACACAATATTAAATTTAACGTTTTCCAAATCCGTTTTTATTAAAATATTTATATCTCGGGTTGTTAATACGTCAAAGGGTTCATTCTAGTCTCAAATTACTCAGTAAATGGTTGGTTTAAAATTTGATTAATCACTAAATGAAATCTGACTAATTGAAAATTAATCATGGACCTTTATTTATTATTAATAATTATTTTTATTTTGAAATTTGTCTTTGGTTAAAGCAATTAAAGACATGCAGGGCTGGTCATCAGGGTTACAACATTTGTTTGGTGTCAGTACAAAGTAAATTATGTGTGATGAGGCATATAAAGACATATAAGGCATATAAGAGGTTCCACGTCTAAAAATTGTAACACTGATGACCTTACGAAACGTCCGTAAGAAATGTATAAAGGAGAGTTTTTATTTGAATATCTCTTCCAAACGACAAAAGATATTTAAAACATATTTCAGCATTGAAATCAGCGTGAAAATCTAGTTCATAATGATGTGTCACAACACTAGCATTGCATAAAAAAAGTTATTAATATCCAATATGGCGGATCCAAGATGGCGGCCGAAAACACCAGCTTGGCCACACTTTCAGACATGTCATTACCTATCTATTGCCAACAATCATACAATTGCTTAATTCAAAATCCTACAAAATTACATATGCCTCACAACTATGGTCTAATTTATTTTATTTTCTAATACCTGTAATTTGTTTATAGTTACAATACCCCCGTAGAAGCAGACCTGTATACTCAACGAATTGCAAATGCTTCAATAAATAATTAAAATGGGGCCACACATTAACATTTCTCAACACGTATGTTCATAAACAAGCATGCACAAAATTTTCCATAAGAATAACATGGGAAGTGAGTATGCAGGTTTGCTGCCACAGAAATGTAAAAATGGGGGATTTTAGGCCATAATCAAGTATATCTCTACTAAATGAAGCCATATACCAATTATTATTAAGATATGCTGAGTAATAAGCTAGATATACAATTTTATTTTTTCCCCATAAGGATAACATGGGGGTAGTGGGGTCTTGCTTGGGGCCAATGTTCTGTGTTTTCCACCTTCAATATCTCTGTAACCAATGGTCATAGAGCAATGATTCAAAACACCAAATTGTTTGATTTTTTGAGCTGAACTCAATGGTCTAAATTAAAATTTGATTATTTTACTCTGGAAAGAGTTATTATTAATTTAACAAATAGATGTCACACATGGCGGCCATCTTGGATTTAAGACGTCATAAAAACCAAACCCCGCAATTTGAGGGTAAACACCCGGTACTACACCATTATGTGACATATAACAAAGAGATTCCACACAGTCACACATTCCCTTCACAAAAAATCCCACGGAATACAGTTTGCCCGCCGACTATTCTTCTGTTATCAGAGAATAAATGTTTGAAGTTGAATGTTTTGTGACAGTATTACATGACATTAGTCAGTCTATAATCATTTAGAATACACTATATTTAATGTTGAGAAGCTTGCCTGTAATTGACCAACATTATGATTCCATTTGTATACCTGTTACTAAAAATCTTTTGGTTATGGATATTGTCAGTGATCTAACATTATTTCAAGTCCTTTTTAAATTCTTGTGAATCCCTTTAAATTATCCCATGAAAAAGTCACAGGCATAATATAAAGTTGAACAAAAGTTAATACAACAACAGCTTTAATTGAGGTGATTTCATTATTACTAGTACAACAAATTAAATTCAGAAGCATAAACTTACCAAATAGAGTCACTGGTTAGCTCTTCCATGATGTCACCTTTCTCGTCCACAAAGTAGTCTACTGTCAAACTGTTTTGCGTGTCATGGGCTGAGGAGTAGGTGGTGATAGGTCTGGAGGGGATGCCAAGAGCTCTACAAACTGAGGGAAACAAACATACCATTTAAACATAGCAAGAGCAGGACATATATATTGTAAAATATAGGTTCCAAAAAAGGCTGGGAGAAAACAAATTATTTATTTGACATTATAATAGCCTGAATCATTACATAATGTATTTTGTTTTGGATCGTAGACATAGACTAAATCTACAAGGGCGGTTTCGGTTTTTTAAGTAAGGGCTGTTTTTGCGTATGAATCCGAAGTTAGCTTGTATGTTGGAACGAGGCTTCTCGCCAGTTACTCATTTGTGAACAGGTTGGCGCAATTTGCAGCTCTGTAGCTGGTATATGCCCTTCGCTATGTGTTTAACATTTTTCACTTCACTTATCTCACACGCGACGGGAGATTCGATGGTTTGAAAAAATTCTAAAACACACAGTACATGTCAGCTACAAATTGCCCCAACCTGTTCTCAATTTACGGCAGTAAGTGGTGAGGCTCACAATCAAACTACGGATTTATACCCCAAAACAGCCCTTACTTTACAACCGCTCATGTAGCTTCAGTACCAGTAATCATGTAAATCCATATTTAACTGTAAATCTAAGTTTGAAATATAAATCAGTACTATATCTAGCTTTAAAATGTTTCTTTTGTGAAATAAATTTCAATTTAAATTTATTACCTTCTATCGATGACTATTCCCAACTCTCACACATATGTTTTACAGATGATGGAGTTTATTTTACCATTCAAAGGTTTTTCCTGAGCGTAGGTCAGGAAAAACAGAAGTATTTAATAAATAAAATGCGGTGTGCACCGTAACTGCACAACAAACCTAGCGGTGGACACCGGAACTTATGCCAACCGCAGCACAGCTGACGGTCTATATTAATTCTGTTTGTCTATTATATTACATAGATATTTAAAAGTACGATATTTTACCAAATTTAAGTTACCTGTGGTGAGGACTCCAGCAAACACCCAGCATTGGCCGTACTTGACAGGTTTCTTGGAGCTGTAAAACTTCTGCAAGATCCGGACACTGCCCACCCACTTGGTGGGAGGAGTTCCCCCGTCAAACTCGGCAGTCCAGTTGCCCATCAGGGCTCCGTTGTCATCGGGTGAGTTGACCTGAGTGTAAATTGGTAACATGAGACCTCTCTAACACCATGTCTCCCTTCACACCATTTTTAAGCCTTGTTTACATTGATCGAGTTAGAGTAGAAGGGCGGTTAGAATGGCGAGTTGGCACTCTACAGTGAACTTGACCAGTGTAGACAATTTAACTAGTCTAATGACAGGCGAGTCGAGTAGTTTCAGCCGGTGGACAGCCACTCGACCAATTTTGAGCACTTTCTCTTCCCCCACCACCCTCAGTCTGCTGTCTCAAGTCGCATTTCATCAGTATTGTACGTCTTTTGGATAATTTAAAGTTTATATAAATAAAATTTTAACATGAAGTGGACAGAAGATGGAACATAAAGTTTGTTGAGTTGTATCGTTAATGAAGAATGTTTGTGGAATCTCGCAAGCCCAACTTGCAAAAACAAACAAATGTGACAAACAGCAATTGACAACCTTGTAAAAGATAATGGTTAAGGATGGATAAGGGTAACAAGAAACGAAGCAGAAAACTAAAAACATGAGGTCTGCATACAACCAAGAACTAATGAAAATTTTTAAAAATCTGACAAGTTCCCAATTTTTTTTTTTGTTCTAAGGAACATGTCGGAGTCACTAACAAGACTACAAGATCGCGCCACTCATCCTACACCCATCCTTCACTCATATTTGGGTTAAAATACGCACATAGTGGCGTCCCCATCGTATATAATTGTGATAATTGACAATAACTGGGTCTGTACATATGTTATCTTAGCATCAGTAAACTATTACATTGAGACAGACAGACAATGTTATGTATTTGAACCTGAATGGAGTCAAAGGTAAGATTACAATTTAATTAGCTGTATTTCGTAGCTTTGATCAATACTGATGAAACATCTGAAACTGGTATATTTTTTATTTCTCTATTAATATTTTTAAGTTACAAGTCCCTCTTGTCGTAATGTATTTCAACACAATATATGTCAATTTTTAAATTAATATAAAGAAAATCTATGTCCTCCTCTATACTCATATTGTGTGCATTCCTTATTAAACGCACTAATGTTGTCGTCTTCCACCCAATCCACTGGAAGGAAGCACAATTTGTCAAGTAACTGCAGGAAAAAGATTAGTCAAGGGACATTTATTAAAACTAGTTGCTCTGCCCGTGCTTCGCTACGGGGTGAGAATGCAGAAAAGAAAAATTCGGCTTTACTTTAAGATACATTATACTATGGGAAACAGATACAACACACTTACCACAGGATACACACACTTATCAGGAAAAATATAGGCAAAAGCTCAATTCTGCTTATTGATTATTTAAATTAAGATCTCTTAATGTATTACAGTACCTACTATAACTTTATATAGTGTATAGCATTTAAAATATATGCAAAAGTATAATTCATTGACCACATGGCACCAAGAAACAATTCTCTTGGTAAACAAATTAAATTAAATAGCAGAACCACTGAGCTATAATTCTAACTGGAGGTAGCACTGAATGTCAAAGATGCGTGTCGCCAGCCGCCATGTTTGCGTGAGTCTGGTGTCATAAGAAGCCATATTATTGCTATAACTATTATTATACTTGGCTTAAAATACCTACTTTGTATGGTCGCCATTTCAAAGAAAATTATTAAAGTATTAAAAGTATTCAAGTATGACAAAAATACTCACTGCTATACCAACCTAGTTATAAGAAGCCATGTCATTGCTATGATAAGAAAACTTACTGCTATACCAACCTAACAAAATCAGCGACACGCTTTTGACAGACTTCTGCCATGGCAGTGCTACCTCCAGTTATAATTTTAGCTCAGTGAGCAGAACAGCATTTCTGACAACAGCTGTAGTTTGATAACAATGTTTGTTTCCCATGTTACTCTTATGGAGAAATACGAAACTTTAAAGGGCCACCAGGCCTCACTCTCTAATTATTTCCCTAAAAAGAAAGTTTCCTGCACAACTTCACGTTACGCCCTTTCCAATGACCCCAAAAACATGTCAATCGGTTCAGTAGTTTCGGAGGAGTAATTGTCACAAAAAACCTGCTTGCGTATTAAATAAGTATAGATGTCATCGATCTTACAGCTAGGTCCACTAAAAGACCTTTCTCGTGATAAAATGATTAAATCTTCCAATTTGTAGGAGAGTACTAAAACCACTTAGCTAAGCAACATATTTTACTGTAGCTTGTAACACTCAAACAACAAAGATTCATGAAAAGGAGCCAATATGAATTCTCCCTCTCAACTGTTTATACTCACAGCTGCACTCAGTGCTCTAGATATCCTGACAGGGTCGTTGCAACTGGACAGAGGGACTTTGCCTATCTTAGTCACCAGGTAGAGAGAACAGTCCAGGATGTCTTTCTCAAACTGGGCAAAGTTCCACGGACAAGGCCGCAGCTGGTTGTGACTGCCTCGCCAGATGAGCCCGGTGTCCATCTTGACATACTCCTTGCGACGATCCTCCTCCTTCATGTACACTTGGTCCTCTGTAAACAGTCGCAAGAGTATCAACTGGATGTTATCAATGAATACAAACACTTTAAGAAGCAAAATACTTATGGAAAATAGTCAGACCGACCACCGTCAGAATGGATAGTAAGAATGGATTTTGCCACCGAAATGAGCTTCGCGCGGCCGACGCTGAGATCGCCTGTGCGGTGGCGCGCTACTCTATCTCTCTCTAAAAGCCGATTCTTTGTCCCACTCTCTCTTACTCAGCTTGCGATAGTCTACCTAGCAGCCAGGAACTATCCGTAAGTCAAATATTCCCAGACTGAGTTTTTAACAAAAGGCATTGCGCTTATTGGTTTAGTATTCATTGGTGTCTGTTCACAGAATTTAGGTAGTTTAAGGGGAAGGTTTCCTAGGTTCCCCCCCCACTATTTTTTAGCTTAATGTATACAGGGTGTTCATTTGAAAACTTTCCATATCTGTTGTGTGCAAAGGTAAGGCTTTTAACACTTGTTTGTTCTCATTTCCCCCTAATTTGGACATGCCAAATCCAATAAAATTATTTTCAATTTTGAAAAATGCCCCAAAAGGGCCCAATTTGGGGGGTAGGGGTGCTTTTTGAGAAATTTTCAAATGTAAACATGGGTTGTGTGATACATCAATTTAAAGGTCTAATCACCCCGATCATTTTGGTGCAAAAAAAGTTTAATTATCTTTAACCGTATTTACAGGGTGGGTCAAAACGTTTTAAAAAAGGACTTTGAAGTTAAGTACCGTATTACCCTAACTACTGAACGGAACAGCGCCAAATTTCTTTCCAAGCTTATTCTTGAGCTACTCTTTAAGATAACTTGTAGTAAGGGCATTTTCCAAGTTATTTTCTAATTTTTAAAAAATCTCAAGTTTTAAGAATAAAAGAAAGCTGAAAACTCAAAATTCTTAAATAGCAAGGTATAACAAATTTCATACCACGTGAAAGGTACTTTTTTAACAAACATTTTACGTATTTAAGTTTTCTTTCTATCTCTTACCGTTTAAAAATTGCAGTAGAAAAACATAATTTTCTGTGGTAAAATTGTAACTAGTTTTCTAATAAAACAGCCAAAATTCGTCTCTAGACACATTAAATGGTGCAATAACTGAAGGAAACAATTCATAATTATTTTTAGACAGACAGGCAAACAAGTCATTACGTTTTACTTTGTGAGAAACAAGTTTTATAGCTGATGAGAAAAACCCAAGCGTGGGCCGCTTTCTGTAGTACCATTGACTAGTCAATGGTAGTACTAATTTCAAAAGTACCATTTCCTGTAGTACCTAATCAAATATGGTGTAAACTTAAAAAAATATACTTTATTTTACTTATTGGTCATAACAAAAGTGTTCCAGGATAACTGCAAAGTGTTTAACAATAGATATCCAGGCATAGCCTTGAGTCATATGGCTGTAAATGATTTAGTTAGGAAGTTTTCTGAAACTGGCTCAGTTACCAATGAGAAAAGAACAGGATGAAGGGTCCAAGATGAATTCTGACACACGTAAAAGTAGTCGATCAATTTGTTATGAATCCTACTACATCGTTGAACAAAGTGCAATGTGTTTTATTAGAAAACTAGTTATAATTTTACCATGGAAAATTATGTTTTTCCACTGCAATTTTTAAATGGTAAGAGATAGAAAGAAAACTTAAATACGTAAAATGTTTGTTAAAAAAGGACCTTTCACGTGGTATGAAATTTGTTATACCTTGCTATTTAAGAATTTTTAGTTTTCAGCTTTCTTTTATTCTTAAAATTTGAGATTTTTTAAAAATTAGAAAATAACTTGGAAAATGCCCTTACTACAAGTTATCTTAAAGAGTAGCTCAAGAATAAGCTTGGAAAGAAATTTGGCGCTGTTCCGTTCAGTAGTTAGGGTAATACGGTACTTAACTTCAAAGTCCTTTTTTAAAACGTTTTGACCCACCCTGTAAATACGGTTAAAGATAATTAAACTTTTTTTGCACCAAAATGATCGGGGTGATTAGACCTTTAAATTGATGTATCACACAACCCATGTTTACATTTGAAAATTTCTCAAATAGCACCCCTACCCCCCAAATTGGGCCCTTTTGGGGCATTTTTCAAAATTGAAAATAATTTTATTGGATTTGGCATGTCCAAATTAGGGGGAAATGAGAACAAACAAGTGTTAAAAGCCTTACCTTTACACACAACAGATATGGAAAGTTTTCAAATGAACACCCTGTATATCAGCTGATCAGCTGATCAGCTCTCAGCTGTTGTTTCATAGTTAGAATTAGGTCGGGGACGGAATTGCTTCTTCTTAAACTGCCTAAAATTTTTGAACAGATTATAGCAGGACAGTAGTAGCAAGATTTCAAACTCGCAGAAAGTCACAGTGAGTGAATAATTCATGGTACTAAAACCTCAAGATTTTTTAAAGAGAGTTGGTTTCGTTTAGCAAACCAACAAAGCTTCCAGCAGACTCCTCTCTAACTCAATCTACCAGAACCTTGTCCAAAACAAAAATAGGTTGAACTGACAGATGAAGCTATGCAAAAAGATGGATACATATTAAAACCCTAAATTACACTACGGTACTTCAGAGCTGTACTAAATATAGAACAATGGTGCTTGACATACCAACTAGTTACGACTTGTTTAGTTCACTTGATTTTATGGACAAGCAACAATTCTTCATGAAAATGTGAGTCAACACCAGTTAGGTGTCCAAACCCAAGCCCAAAAGTCTGAACCAAACCGATTTGAAAAACAAAAATCTACTTTATAAGTATTTAATGGAGTACCATTAATCGGAAGAGTGATCAGACAGTAGTCAAGACCAGTAGGTTGGTGGAACTGTGCAACAACTTGTTTTACTCAGTTCTTAAACAAATGATTGGGTATATTGAAGTTAAATATGTAGTGTAACAAGGATTTTATAATTGTAAAGATCTTTTAAACTTACTTTTACACCAGGGGTTGAACAAAATGTAAATTTTGGTCTTGCAGCTGTAACTGATCGCTCCGTCATTCAACAGTTTTGTGTCGATGTCCATCTTCCAGGCACTAACGATACATGTGGCAGACGGTGTGATCTGAAACAAATTACCTAATTAATTTAAGAAGTTATAGGTATGGCGATTTCAACTTTATTTAGCTTTTGGTGATTCAAATATTAAAATTCTTTCATATAGTCTAAATATCCAGATAATATTATTGTCTCTATTCAGGATCGTTTCCCAACTATTTACTATTGTTTTACAAATAGAGCTGTACTTGTTGTACTCAACCAAACTATTTGTATAGAATCACCTCTGACTATTGATTTGATGCAATTGATTTCATTCCCATATATGTTAAAGCTGTCACCAGTTTGTTTATCAAAATCGTCTTAATTACTTAATTCATGTGAGCCACTGATATACCGCGCTCTCAAATTACTAATTTCTGTCAGAAACAACCTTTACCGTACTTAATCAAATCATATAAAAATCATGTTATTTTAGGAAAGTATGATTACAGTACAAGGATGTTAATTCCTAATTGAATGACTTGTGAACTGTAGCAAATTCACCTGGTAAGTATCGAATAAGAGGTAAAAAATACAATTTTAGACAATAGCACAATCGGTGACTGACTCTGTTCTTTTTTATTTAAAATTGGCAACAGCTGGTCTACATAGATGATATGTCTATTCCATAGTATCCAATGTCAATTGTATAACAAAGCTTTGATTTATGGGTTAAATAGTACCATACAAGTATAAAACGTGATAAATATTTTTTATGTTTCATCACACATAAAGTTAAGCAAAACTATACTGTTACTAGTAAACACGTTGCTCGAAATCGAGCAATTGCAAAGAAGTAAAGTAGTTATTTAAAAACAAATAAAAGTCATCATAATTTCCGATGAGTTTAAAAGACTTTGAAATGAAAAATAACAGCAATTAAAATATACAGCTGATCAAAATGTAAACAATTATGTTCTTCATAAGGATAACATGGGAACTTTAACAGCCACTGGGGCAGAGCCCAAGGGACTTTTTCAAAAATGTATGGTCAGTTTGCAAATCTACGCGACACGCTCTTTCCAATGAGACGTCAATGGATAAAATCGGTTAAGAAATGGCGGAGGAGTTCAACCGACAAAGTTTCATGTAGCGTATTAATTATATAGATTGCTAACTTACTCTTTTTCCTAAGACTAATAATAATAAAGACATCTTGAATACAAATACATCATCACTCGGTGATAAAAAGATAAAGACTACCCTTAATTATATAAGGTAGTGCTTGGAGTTATTTTAAAACGTTCAAATATATATTACTCTCTTCTTACATACTTCAAATTCTTACAAAAAAAATCAAGAAAGAACAATATACTTACATGCACGGTTATCACATTTTCTGAGGACCTCTGCAGGACAGCCGTCCAGCTCTCTCCTGTTGAAGATCCTTTGGCTAACAAGGGAACCACCATCAGCGTCCCATGGCCGTAGCTGGGCTTATCTGTCTCTGAACAGATATTATAAAAATTACCAACAAGCTATACAATGTTGTTACTATTACTATATTGATACAAGTGGACAGCACATTCCGAAAGCCTATAAATTCTAAAACTAGAATCAAAATTAACACAGACAAATTGAGCAGATGGGAATTTGTGCTGCTCAGTCAAAAATTCGCTCAATCTTCACTAATATTGTGGTTAAAATATGTTTCTAGGTTGTGCCCTCATCTCAACTGATAATACTGTAATACCAGCTGAATTGAAAGGACTTTTTTCAAATATATTAATTGCTGAATTTAACTATCATAGTTTAGAAACTAAAGGAGAAAATATAATGTCGATAGTCCCTGAATCTGCAAAATTTCTTGAATAAAAAATTTACTTTATAGTACATAATGCATACATGCAGTGCTATAGGTAGATTTAGAATTTCTTATAGTACTCTATGCGTAGCCATATTCATACAGTATTCATTAATAGAACTGTTTAGTCCCAGACAAGTCTCTGTGGTTTATTGTGTATACGCAGTTTGTGGTACAGCTGCAAGAGCAAGAATAGTATTTATGGCAGCTACATGTTTTGCTTTTGTGGATTTCAGTTGACTTGATTGTTTTGCATAAACAACTCATAACAAACGTGTTAATGGTTATGTTATTTCTAAATCAGAGTACATGACCACAGTTAGTTTTTGTTCTTTTATATTGTTTGTTTATGAGGGTTTGGTTTCCAAAGTTTAATAATTTATTTGTAACAAGGCAATTTGAGTCACTGTTTATTATGCTACTTTTGGAAGACTGGTGTTTTTATAAGAACAGACACACATTGAAATTGATATACTACCTATGTCATAAGAAGTTATATTCATGTTGGTTGGAAGGGAGTAAACAATTAGGATTCTGTTATCCACTTTGGGGCTGCACTTTAGTATCCGTCCTACACTCATTCGAATGAATATCGACTGGGACGGGTGGCGTCGTCCTGTAATCCAGCTACTAGGAGGTCACGAATTGTGGATATTTATAGGCATGCACTGTGGATGCGATACTCCCTGGTGTGGATTAATGTCCGCACGAGTGAGTACTACGACTATCCGCAATACTATCCTGATGATTAGACCAATTCGTATATATACCAAGGTAAAAATGTGGTTCGGGTTCCACTATAAACTGTAGGTCCCTTAGTTGCCAATAGCTATATGGGCTATTAATTAACAGCTTTGTCTAAGGAATGTCGGCCTTAGTCACTAACAAGACTACAAGATCGCGCCATTCATCCTACACTCATCTCCATTCATACTTGGCTTAAAATACCTAACTTTGTATGGTCGCCTAAGAAAGTATTAAAGTATTAAAGATACCTATATCGATTATTTAATTTAATACATCAAGAAAGAAATAATCGGTTTATCGAATAATTTATCGATATTCTGCATTCGAATGAGTGTAGGACGGATACTTAAGTGCAGCCTCACTTTGGTACTGATCAAGTTCAATGGATTTTTAGCCAGGATCAGGAAACTCAATAGTTGTGAAAACAACTGCATCAAATTATAAACATTCAAAAAACAAGTTCCTAGAGACTCTCTTAGTAATGTAACCTACACCCCTACACACGACCTGTGTACGAATATAAAAATAAACGTTGACTAAAAATCATATTACATTAAGAGGTTTAGTAGTCCTCCTCTCTAGGTTTAGTACCGTACACCTATACATTTTCAGACAAATTTTGTGATAATTTCTTTGTACTTTTTCCCTTTCTGGTTTGAGTAAGAGAGTCTGGAACTAAATGTGCAAGGAAATCATGGAGAATGTGTCTTACTTTACCAGACTTCCCAGACTATATAAAGATTCATTTCTTTATTTATCTCTACTGGAGATTTCTCTAACTCGAATCTATCTTGGTAGAAAAATGCTGTCAGTGACAAAAAATATTTAATTTTAGTGATTATTTTTGTGTTTCTTGAGCCAGAGTGAAGTTTTTCTTATTTTTGTAAATCTACTGGTTTTACTTAAGTCCTTGTACCTCACTGTGCTCTAAGTTATAATGTATCTGCAATATGGAAGATATTTCACTCAGCTGCTCAACCTTGGCAGAATTTACTACTAGTTATAATAAGTAGCATTAGAAAAATCATTTTGTAACTATAACTTGTGAAATACTGTCAATCAAGAAGTTATGTTACCTAATATCATAGATAAAACATACTCCCTTAGTAGATTTCTCATCCTTTTGGAACAGCTGAAGACAATTTTATTGTTAGTTCTGTACGGTTTATGTAGAGGTCGTGTTTTGTTTACAATTTGTTTCCCGTTATTACAGCCAATTAAAACCTCGTTTAACCAAATAATACGATCTAATCATAAACAATAACTTGTCCCCTAGTTATATAACCAAACAGTAAAGCACAAATCAAGAAATTAACCCTAAAATAATGGAAACAAAGTTTCATCGACACTAGCGCCTTTGTGTCACATACATGAACTAGACACGTAAAACGTGCTTCAAAATTTACAATGGGATGAGAAGTCTCCTTGTGTTGGTTAGTCTATGCTAATATATTGCTACAAACCTACAACGCTAGTTGAACTACCATGGATTCGAAGCACTTAATGATTCATGTTTAAGTTCCCACGAACATTAAGCATGGTCAATCTTCTTCAACAAGGAATGATTTACAGCACAGATTGGCCATGCTTTATAATGACCGTGAAACTTGAAAATGAAGCCATCAAGAGCTTTGAAGCTATGGTAGTTCAACAACTCTATGGAATCACTTGGCGATACACAACGTAATATTACCTATTTATTATATAAAATTTCAGCGATTCTGGCTAATCTACAATGTCAAATTTGAGTGTTTACAATATGGAAGCATCTATTACTTCATTTGTATGGTGTAAACATTGGTGTCAACTTCAAATGATATTCTTCTGTGTCACTGTGTCTAGGACTTCCTATGCCATTAGACTCACCTGCGACAGTGAAGACAAAAGATATGGCGTCAATGGCAGGATTGTATGCCCGACTCAGAACCAGGTCCACCTGGAAGGATTGTCCTCGCCTGACGACCAACTGCGGGTTGACAGGACGAGTCATCAGCTCGTAGCGGTAAGTGTGGTGATCTGCGCCGTTGGTGTTGAAGCACATGTCTACTTCTCTCACCTTCAACACCTCTGCTTCTGAGCTGGGCGGCTCTGAGAACAAGAATATAACGAATGAATGATGTTGTAATAGCTCTGTATCATACAGAAGGGTCATAAGGTTAACTGTTATGCCTTTGCACCATAAAGAAACTTGTAAAAAACATTTGAGGAAATAATCTTACTATAGGTCGGCCGGTTAGAAAGCGACCTGCGCTAAATTTTTAGCGCATGCAGGGGAGGTAACGGCGAGGGAGGGTATGTTCCCCCTCTCCGCGTATTTGTTTACATTTTGATCAGCTGTATAATTTAATTGCTATTAATATTTTAGTTGAATTTAAGGGGCGTGTGTTCGGGAAGGTTGGGGCGGCAGCGGAGTGGGGGAAGAGCCATAATCTGTCTCACTGCCACAGCTCGGTATCTCTCTTTTGCACCAATGCTACGAGGAGGTCGTTTTCTAAGCGGCCGACCTATAGTATTATAAATGTGAAAGTTTGTGTGTTTGTTTGTTTGAAGCTCAATCACGCATTAACTACTAGACGGATTGGGCTGAAATTTGGCATGATGATAGCTCACATTCCCAATTAACATAAAGGCATATTCTTATCTCAACAATCCTTTCGGGCTCTGCCCCAGTGGATCTGTAGTTCCGCATGTTAACTTATGAGTATTCATATATAAAGTGAATTGAAGAATTTTGTCAGCTGTTTCAACTAAAACAATTGGTTCTATGATATCCAAAGGCATTAAAAAGTTATGTGATTTACCAACAGGATGCAGCACTATATTATTTTTTGTTTGCATTTTTATGAAAACAGCTAATATAATTTGACTTAATACAATAACTGTGATACACAATGAGAACTGTCAAAGTAGGATTGTTTGCAGTTATGTTTAGACTATGTTTTTAATTTCATGATATTTTGTGAATTTTTAATACCGTAATTTATTTTTTTATTGTTTGGGTCAAGTCAACATTGTTGTTGGTCAACATTATGGCTGTGGTACATGTGCTATACTATAGCATACCGTAAATTAAAAGAACCTAATTTTTATTAAACCGTTTCCTCCCCCATTGCAAACGTAAAGCAAGCACAAGTACCTATAACTGCAATAAGCATTTTATACTTATACGCCAACCAACCCCGTACGAAGGACAGGTACTCTGCTAGTAATATACATAATTAAACTGAAGTTCTACTTGGTCTGAAATGAGACCAAAATCTTGAAGTCCATGTGGTATTATTAAGGATAAGAATCATACAGAATGCAACAAAGGTAAACTAACTCAAGATCATACTTTTTGTCCCTCCCACTACTGCTGGATACAACTTAATAATCTAAGCTTAATTAGGTGAAACTTTTGAAGAGGCATCATCTTTAGTGGTTGTCATTTAACTTCCGAAGGGGGTCAGGAAAAAAAAGAAAAAAAAAGATTGAAGGGAAAGTAAAAGGTTGATTGTCACATTTTTACATCAAATTATTATTGTCATCATTCCCGTACCTACTGACATTATTCCATCCAGCTCCCCAAACATCCCTTCTACACTTATTTGATTGTCTACATTTGTTATCTTAAATTAGACAGTACAAGAATTATTGTGATGTGAAAAAAAAACAGATCACAGGAATCATTGTACATAACATTTGCTCCAATATGACATGACCTTCCTTAACAATGATAACAGCTGCATTTTATAGAATTCACGTGTGGTCAAACATTTTGAGTATTTTCTATTGGATTGGTAAACAGAACCTAGGACAACATTTTAAAGAAGAGTTTCTTTATCCCATTCACTACAGGTGATACAAGACAACTCATACAGAGTGTGACGACTGGTAGACAACGTGTTAAAGCAAATGTGTTCATCTGAAAATAAATATTAGTTAAACATTGATAGCTTGATGCGACAAACCAGACCAGTGTCAAGAACAGCCAGTGACTCACGGCCGCAATCACAGAGGCATTGATATCAACCTCAAGGCTATCTACCTTACTGACACTGTTATGACACAGTACCTTAACAATAAGCCCTGATAACGTGGTCTACATTTATACTCCTATTGTTTGGAATACCAATATGTAATTAGCTCCCTATTTCGGAATTTTGTATTTGTTTGACAAATGTTTCATATTACTATTGAATTTATTTCAACTATTTTAAATTTTAAACCGTTGTCCTCGCAGGAATGGGGGCTTGTTGGTAGTGCTGGAGGAAAGTCCTTGGAATCCTCCTTAGAGTATTATTTCGTTTCGTATATTAAAATGTTGTAAAATAAATATGACATTAATAAAAAAAAATTCATGTTGGTAGTGCACATAATCTATTTATACATTATATATTTATTTTGGATTTGTTCCTTTATTCATCCAGTATTACAGTTCGGTAGCTGAAGGTTATGGTGCCCGCCTTGTGATCAGAAAGTCTCTAGTTCGGTTCAGAGAAAAGAAATGACTGTAGATTTTTGATAATTCAAAACTAGATGTTCATAATGATTGGGATTATTAATAAACAAGTATAAATAAATGTAAGTAAAGTATAAAGTATTAATACATGATTGAATCACTTACTAAACTGCAGCTTCTTTGCATTAGCAAAATTCATAACAAGTTGGACGACGTCGTTAAGAGGTGATCTTTACATGAAAAGTAATTAGTTTTCTGACTTAATTTGTTAAATAATGTTGCAATATGACAAAAATATTGTTCACAAATGTCCAAAAAGTCTTTTCAATCCTGGCTTATTTTCTGACCTCAACTTAATCGTGAATCTTGAGCTCAGGTCAAAAAGACACCCTAGTGATGAAGGATTGAAAACAATTAAAAAGTTGAAGCAATTTTAATTTTGTTTAAGCTTTCTGGCAAAACGTCAGTCATTACTTACTCAAAGGTAAAAACACAACAAAAGGACGTTCCTCCTCCTCAGTGGGAGGGGGGCTTGTGGGTAGTGGTGGAGGCAAATCCTTCGAATCCTCCTTAGAATCTTGTACTCCTGAGTTCTGAATCTGACTCCCAGAGGTCTTTGGAGACTGTTTCTCAAACTGTTTCTGTCCAGATTTTCCATCCTCACTAAACGTAACACTTGAGGTAGGTTGTACAGAGATGTTGGTTTCGTAAGGAGTAGCATCCCATACCGAGTAACCCTTACTCTTACAATAACGACATGGACAGCACAGACAGGCTTTGATGTGATTGAGAGCCATGCTATGTCACAACTGAGACAAGGAGTGCTAACTTGAGCCAGTCATGTCTTATCTTATCATTGTTGGGCCATTCTCACGTTTGAGCCATTCCCTTCCTTCCTGTGTTGAGTGGTTCAGATTGTTTATTAATTAGTTTAATCAATAAATCTGTGTATAAGTGAATGGGTTTGTACTCATAACTTAACAGGTACTTTATTTGGCCACTTGACTTCTTTATCCACTTAAAATCATCACTCGCTGAATATTTTAATTTTTTTTCATCAAATATTTTATTCTGAATACAAATTTAGAGCGAGTCAAAAATGGGGTGAGATGACTTTTGCTGTTTCGCTGACTAAGATCAGCTAGGTCTATTATTTACATTACCGATTGAGATGAAGATGCAAACGTATATACTTTAAGAATGAAGGATGAGTGTAGAATGGAGTAAGATATGTTTCTTGTGTAGCTTTTTTGCTGACTACACTTATTAAAAGCTGAACCACATATTAAAGGCCCAATGATCGGAATCACTGGTCTCGTTTTGAACGAAAAGTTTCTGACTTTTTTCAGAATTGAATCAACAGCAACCTTTAAATTGCTCGTCCTCGTCCAGCATTATATCCCCTCTGCTATCCAGCTATTCCTCAAAACTTGAATCTTTATTAAAAATACATTAAAATGCTACTAATATTTTTGACTATTAATACAACTAGACATTCCATTGCATGTAAAATTTGCTGCCAGTTTTTAAAGCAAAATAGCCGTTGTTGATGTGAGCCACCGAAAGATTGTTCTGATCCACTGATCTAAATTACTGATTTCTGTTGAATAAACAATCTTTTTCACCAATTCAAACTTATTGTGAGCTAGCAACTATTATGACTCGTCAACTTGGTCAGCAAGAAAATAAGGTAGAAAATAGAGAGTTTTAGTCACTAGCGCATTCTGTGATTGGCTTACACAACTACATTCTTTTTCAACAAAAAATTGGCTACAGCTGGTCCATATAGATGGGATGTCTACTTCAGTATACAATAGTTTTTGTCGGTATATAATCCAATGACTGTTGACAACTGGGCCCAGCTTCAAAATATCAAAAAGTTACTAACCTTTCTAGGTGTTGAACATAGGATCTTATAACTGTTAGGTTTAGACATGACTATGGTGACTGATAAATTCTTATCATAACCAGTTACGGCTTAAAATACCTACATAGTATGGTCGCCATTTCATAAGAAAGTAAGTAAGTAAGTATTACAATTCAGATAGGTTTTTCAAATGGGAGAACATTTGTTAAATAACCAATAAGCTCTTTAATATTTGAGACCAGTTTATAAGGAATACTATGTATTATTTTTACATACAGGGTGAGTTTTAAATGAGTTCCCCCCCTACTTTTTTCTACATTTCTTAAGATATCAACTCCGGACCACATCAGATCATTGTAGAGTAGTAAGTACTTCATTTTGACTGGGTAAACATTTTTGGCCGCCATCTTGGATCCGCCATATTGGATACAAAGTTTTTTTTCAAATGTAAAGGTAGGGTTGTGACCCATTATTTTACACTAAAATTTTAAGCTGATTACAGTGCCGCAATTAGTTTTTAAAAACCTTGATCACATTTCAAAATGGCGGATCCAAGATGGCGGCCGAAAAAATTACATCTGTCATAACCAAGTGAAAATAGGTCGGCAATGAATGAGGGTGTATACTTATCGTTATCTAGTACTATTTTGAGATTATGGCCTTAGTTTGTAAATGCACAATGTTAAAATGGGCTAAAAATAAAGTTATAAAAAGTCCTCATAACTTTAGAACGGATCAAGATTTTTTAAAACTAATTGCGGCACTGTAATCAGCGTAAAA